AAACTGTATTGATTTTTGAGGTTTTAAAACTGTGTACCGTTGTTGGTTCAACAAAAAGGAAAATAGAAAATAAAACTGATAAAAAATAGTAAATAATGGGAAATTAGGACAAAGGGTTTATATAAATTTTGGAAACGGTACAGAGTTTTGGAATACAGTTTATAATTGCTAAAGATAATAAAATTATTTGTATTTATTTATTTAATTTATACTATAATTTAAAAAAAACACAAATGAACTATTCAAAACCTTTGTTAAACTAACAAATATAAATATATATACATTTACAACTAATAATAATGTGTATGTTGAAAAGGTATATTAATTGATTAAATAAAAATTTTATGTTAAAATCACTAAAATTATTTCTAATATTTTTAATTGGTTGTAAGTACTTCTGTGTATATTACAATTATAATGAGTGAAACTTGTTATTTAATTTTAAAACTATGCATCCCATCATTTCATATGCTTTTTACTGTTCAATTGTCGTTCTTTAAAATTGGATTATAACACATTGTAATGATGATTTAAACAATACAGAAATTTTTTTTAAATCGTTAACTATAGTTTTACCAATTTTTAAAAACATTTTAACAATAAAAAACTTTTTAAGTTTTTTGTTAACAATATGCTAAAACTTAAAATGAACTGACACGTATTAGAGATTGCCACGAATTTGTTTAAAAACTGGATCTTGGCCGACCCTGTTATAATTACAAAAAACAACAATCAACTTTGCTTTTAGTCAAAAAAATTCGTAAAAATTTTAAAAAATTCATTTTTTCGTAAGAGTCTAATTTGAAAAACAAATGTGTTTTTATGGGGAAGAGTTAACACTAGTTCCATGTTTTTAAGATTAAAATATTGAAAAAAAACGCCTAACTGTGGTTATGCATTTCAATTATCAAAAAGTTCTATTTTTGTTTTTGTAACAAAGTTAATATATGACGTATAAATTGTATATTTATTGTTATTATTTTTAAAATATCACGTAGACTCTTGCATGTATTTCACAAGTCTTTATAATAAAAATATTTGGTCTGGTTTAAATTGGTTTACATTAATTATTTAATTATTTTTATTATAAAATTTTGGTAAAGAACAAGAGTTATATTGAATTTTTATCTTTCAAAACAATCACAATAAATATCATTCGTGTTTACCGATTTTTAATTATTTTTAGCATTATAATATTTTATTAATAATAAATTTATTAATTTACTATTAAAGAATGGCACTTTCTATTTTTATAACTTGAAACAATGAACAATTCTTAATCAATAATTTATTAAAAAAAATTTGCTAAGACGAACTTGGAACATTTAAAAACAAAAAACTGAGAATATCAAAATGTGTAGACTTTCTGGTTATCACATCATGATAGTCTCGAAGTACCTCGACACTGTCGGAGACTTCATTAACTTGGAGTCGGTATGCAAGAAGTATAGTGGCAATATGGAGAAGTTCCACTTCAACCCACTTCCGTTAGATTGCAAAACAATTAGGTACTTCCCAAACATTGAGACACTTCATTTGTGGAATAGAGATGAAGAGAATTTTGGCAATGGATTTATGACGAACACAGAAGAAAATGAAGATTGTGAAAATGAAGTTGTTTTAAAGAAAGAGTTTTATCGAATCATTGTGTGGTTCAATGTTGACTTTGAAACTGTTGACAGAAACAAAAATCGAAACATCGAATTTAAAGATGTCACTTACACTAAAAACAATAGAGAGAAATTTGGTAATAAGATACCATTAAGTGTTAGATCAATTGGTGAATATTGTTTCAGTGGATGCAGAAGTCTAAGCAGTATTACAATACCATCAAGTGTAACATCAATCAGTGATGAATGTTTTGGAAATTGCACCAGTCTCATCAGTGTAACAATACCATCTCGTGTTAAAACACTTGGTGATGGTTGTTTTAATGGATGCGATAGTTTGAGCAGTGTTACAATACCATTAAGTGTGATATCTATTGGTAATTTTTGTTTCTGTGAATGCAGAAGTTTGAGCAGTATTACAATACCATTAAGTGTGACATCAATTGGTGATGGTTGTTGCAGAGGATGCATTAATCTGACTAGTGTTACAATACCATTAAGTGTGACATCTATTGGTGATGAATGTTTCAGTTGGTGTTTTAGTTTGAGCAGTGTTATAATACCATCAAGTGTGAGATCAATTGATGGAAAATGTTTCAATGAATGTATTAATTTGACTAATGTTACAATACCATCAAGT